TACTGTAAAAACACTTACAACACAGAGGAGACATCGAGATTCAAACATTGCTCCACAGTATCCTAGGAAGCTAACCAGAAAGATCAGGGCTCCTGCCAAAATCAAGATATACGATATTATCCTGATGACATCCGTGTCCGTTTTGTTCTATAACAGAATAGTCTAATTTAGCTAATAATTGTATTTCCAAATTATTTCTCTACTAGAAAAATTTGACTAAAATCTACTTTTGTTTAAATTCACTTCAAAACTACAAACTATTATACACAATTTTATTAATTATTACAAGTTCTTTAAATGTGTAAAAAATATGTTTCGATTTACAAAAACGAATCTTAAATATTGAATACCATAAAGAACCCGCTTTCCACAATCATAGAAACATTAAAAAACATTTGAAATTTAATATTTACAATTTTCTACAGTATAGACAACGTGTAGAATGTAATATACTTTATAGTCTATCAATAGGCATAATATATTTCCTAAAACTTACTTCAAAATTATTTTCAAATTCTATCATTGCAAATTCTTTAAAAAATTGAAACATAAAAGGGTATTTTCAAAAATATCTTTACAGAATTTGTGTAGCTATTTTCATATGTCTTCAACAACTATTAATTCACATTATTCCTACAAAATAAGTAATTTCGAAATGTACATAAATATGTATATTTGTAAAATTGATTTTAAATTTACTTTATCTTTATTCACAATAATATAGATGTTCTATTAACTATCATATTTAGTTACATTTTACTCAATATTACTTGTTTCTTGCCTATCAAAATGCATCAAAAATTTCAGATGTAATTAAGTATAATATATACGTACACTTAAATATCTTCGCTGTTTGTGAATATACAAAAAAAAAAACTAATTAATGCAAAATTCAATTGTTTAAAAGAATAAACAAAATAATGAAAAGAAAAATCCTTTCAGTCATCTTTTCTTTCAAGATTTTGTCATTTATACGTTTTACAATGGTGTCACGCGCTTGCGTGTATTTACATATACTTTTATACAAAACAAAAAGAACAAATTCAATAAAAATATATTTGTCGTTTGAAAATATACATATTTCTTTCAGTGATGTTAATATTCAAACTTAAAACTAGAACACACGATATTATAAATTCGGGAGCAGATGTCTGATTAAGCGATACGACGTAATATATTAATAAATATACCAATCTTATCCGTTTTCGTTTTCATTAACTTATACCTCGGTTTAGTTACAATATATTTTTCATAATTTCACATATTACGTAGATTTCATCGTAACTACAACCGCGAAGAAACGAAAATGAGAACTTGTACGATAAGAGCTTACGAATAGAAAGTTAAGGATATACTCTTTCTGATAGTTAACTAATTAGCAACGCTTTCGTATTATAATCAACGAAGCGTGGATCTGTTAAAAGAAATTCCTTCAGTACCGACCGGTCCATTGCTGATTATCTTTCCACAATTATTCACTATGAAAGAAAATATTTACACTTTGACCACAGTAATACTGACCACAGTAAATATTTTTTATTTAATACAACGTGATCTACGATGTTACCTTCCACTGTTTTCATTTTTTATTTTCGCTTTGAGAAAACTGTTTTTAAAGTTTACCAGAATGTCCGATTGATCAAGTTTGCCGATGAGATCAGCAAAGGAACTACTATCGGCGAAAAGCCAAACTCCGACGGCCAATGCAGCCCCTCCGGCTATCTATAAACAAACATGTTTCATTTTTTATTATATTTAATTAATCCTCCAAAAACAACAAAGACGACCGCGTGGATAAATTTGTATACGAAAATGATGAAAACCATCGTTTACACTAAATGCAATCAATTCGTAAAATAGTTGTAGTTGAAGATTAAGCTGTGCTTTGTCGAACAATGATAATCTGTTTTTTCTTAATAAAGTGCCTCGTATAAATACCTACAGAATGTTTAAAATGAGATATATCGTAAACTGAAAATGGAAATTATAAAAATAAGTTAGTTGCTCTTGTGTTTCATAATTTTTAGTAACTTTTTATGTACTTTAGCAGATTTTAAGAAAAACAAATCAGTAAATAATTAACAAGTTATTATTTAAAAGTAATAAGAAATATTTGAAGTTCAATTGACGATCTGTTAAAATATCTGATACCACAAAAATTAATCGATACTACAGTTATTAGACAAAAATAATTTTTACAACTAAACATTATTTTATTATTTATCAATATCTAGTAACTTTTATTATATTCAAACTGCTGCTTTTTCCTCAAACAGATGAACAGAGAAACAGCACTTTAATTAAGAATTAAATTAATAAATGCATAGAAAACGTATACTTACGAAAAAAACAAAATTGAAGAAGCATAGAAAATACTTGGCACACTGTGAAGCGCAGCCCATTTTGGCTTCGTTCGCAACTGATATATATCTGTAACCGAACAAAGTAAATATGTACTGTTCAGTATTTTCAAGTGAAGCCAACATTATCATAAGATGTATTTTAACAATAGAAGTATATTTCAATAATATGGACAAACGGTTCTTCTGAATTGTGCGTGACACGACAAAATATGTATTATGACAATTTAACAAATCATTTACAACGATATCGACAATGGTTCGTTAATAAGAAAAATAAAACTTGATGCACATAGTATTTAAAGAAAGTACATTTTTTTAGCGAATTAGCAACTCGATACAGCAAAGAAGTAAATATAGAAACAATTAAGTAAAATTCCGACGGTTTGTTCGGAACAAAAGACGATGTTGCATCTCATCTGAAAAGCACGCGACGATCCAGCTACTCAATTAAGACGTACTTGTCGTTGAAATTATTGTAGGCGGGAAACAAAGAGCTGCGAAAATTGGCCGAATTAGGCCGAATTCCTGTTAATCAAGAACACGCCTTTTGCATTCGTCTATCGAATCTTGTCTCCGCGACAAAAAAAAGGAACACGTTGGTGTATTCGATTTTATTACGAGGGTCGTATATTTGAACAAAATTGACCAAGTTGCAATGTTTATGTATAAACTATAGATTAACACGCAAGTAAACGATATGATTCGAACGAAGACATGAATGATACTAAGGGGTGATGCAAAAGTTCTTGACACATTTAAAGATAACTCTTCAAACTGTATAAAAAGTTATGGAGAACGTAGAAAAAAGAGCGTATTTGTGCTATCGAGAAGGCGATGGTTATTTAACAGAATTTATTTTTTTCCTTTTCTCTTTTACTCTCCGATTTATAAAAAAAAATACAACCAAAGGTGTCAGAGACTTTTGCGCCGCTCTGTACATTTAACGTGAAAGTAACAAAGTAATACTTATTTGTTGAGGTGAATGCTTCTTTGTTACTTAATTTCAATTACATCGGTATAGCTGCATAGGTCTAAAAAGTTCAAACATTAAACATTCTTTGATAAAGGTTTAGTTACATATACTTTGAAGGCTAGGAAAGAAGTTATAATTAAAACGGTATAAATTTATGCATAAATATTGTATATTTAAAAGGTATAAAAGTATGTATTATTTAGGTATAGATGTATGAAACTGTATATTATACAGAAATTTCAAATTTTAGGGATTTTCTATCCATATTAGGTTATATCAATTACACTTCAAAAGGTGCGTAGTGTAAGAGAGTATGATCGGTAAGAATTGTCTGAGAAACAAAAGACGATTTATACGTATTAAGTAAGAAACTGGTCTCGATATGTATCAAGATAAAAAGGAAAGAAATGAAAAGAAAGTGGCACGTTTAAAAACAGGTTAAAGGCAACGGAACGGTAAGGATAATGCACACATTCCTAGAATTAATAGCTATAATACATTACTTAGGGTACATTATTTAACAGACTGATCTATGAAATTGATTCCTAATGTTAATGTCTTATATGTAGGATGTCCCACCAACTCTGTCCACCTGAAATATCTCCATTATTTAAAATAGTGCATATTATGCAAATTATAACTTTCACACGAATAACTTTTAAATTATAACACGATTCACAAAATTCATGCCATGTAACTTCTGGCGAAGGCTGATATGATACGGATGAAATTTATAACGGACGAGAATTCGTAAGATACACTGCTTCTCCAATCGCAGACTGACGTCCAATCTATCGTACATTAATCTGAGGTTCATGATTCACCATTGCAAGAACATTAATTTCGGATATTGTTCCGAATGGCTTTACTGGCCGATCGAGATGAAACTTTGTGGGTGTTATGAGGGGTATGAAAGGACTCCAAATATAAAATCTTAGCTTCGGGAATTCACCCGTTCGGAAGATACAGGTTCTATCCTAACCTAACCTAACAAATCTGTCAAAATCTGCGATGCAATTTTATTTAACTCTAGACGTCTCGGGCATTCACACTTCGCGAAGCGAACAGCAGTCCGTTACAATATTTAAAGCATCTGAACCATTCAATGTGTGATTAAGGAGATAAAGTACATAATTAGCAAGCAAAGAGCGTAGAAAATACCTTATACACGAGAACGTGTATATCTTCCGAACGAGTGAATTCCCGAAGCTGAAATTTTATATTTCGGATCCTTCCACACTCCTCATAACACCCACCAAATTTCATCTAGATTAGCCACTGGGGAATTGTTCATTCGGAACAACAGCCCTAATTTCATTGTCTCCACGAGTTACAAACTTTTACGACTGCTCTTACGATCAGCAAGATTTCCCGTTTCCTCCAGTTTCTGACACGATCTTTCGAACATCTGTGAAAGACACGTGTGACTCGGATATCTTTCAATATCCATAACTTATGCCCTAATTGTATTTTTCCTAATTTCTCCGTAAATAAGAAGAATATCTCTACTTATTCTCTGAATGAAAATTTCATACTGACAACTCTATGATTACTGAATGAGGAACTTATTAATACTGAGAGACGTCGAAAAGGAGGATGTTAAAAAAGTGCCAAAAACAATACCATCACGATATTACTATCTTACTATCTACTGTTTGTTTACAACCAAAGTACCTCTCAACATGTTTATCATAATGAAAGTAAATAATAGACAAAGACAAGTATCTCAGGGACGGTGAGTTTTAGGATAGATGTACCTTACAAGGTAATAACTGGAAATGATAATCATCGATATTAATGAAACTTTGATATATGGTAGTACCTACTCAAGAAAATATTCGTCACGTACGTTTTTTTATCGAAAATTGTGCATAGGTGTGAAAATTGCCCTCAAAGATCGGGGTAGTAAACATAAAATATGATCTAATATTTGGAAAATGATTAGAGATAGAGAATTATACTTTTTCAACGACAAATTTGATTGCTTAAACAGATTTGAAGAAAGTCTTCAGAAATCAGAAATATTTATTGATTTTAATCATATTTATAAATGACAATTTTGATTTTTGGCAAATTAACAAAAATAATTGTTCTTAAAACTTGCTAATATTTTATGTTGGTTCGAGGCTCGAAATCACTGTGGGAAAGTTAAATCAATTGAAAGATGAAGTTCTTCCACCGAATTTCCAACAGACTAGCATTTTTTTAAACATTTGGACTCGAGCAAAAAGCCTTGCTTCAAAAACAATGGTTGAGAGAACGCCTTTAAAAAGTTTATTAATTCGAAAATTCCCGAATTATAAAACAAAAGAAAAGGGAGGCTTGTAACCCTTTAGGAAAAACGTATAAATTCCAATGGATGTTGTTCTGATTGACATATGTAAGCTACGTCTAAATTATAACATACTAAATACAAGAACACTGGTCCGCAATTTATTTCTCATCGATCTAAAATTCTTATGAACAAGAGAATTCAATTTTTCCGAGGAATTCACTGTTTGACTAGGTATCCACTAATAATCTTACTAAATGTCGATTTAGTAAGCAAATCTATATTTCATTTGTATCTATACTTACACCAATACACCAGAAATAAAACATCATTACACCTTTCGATTGTTCTACTATCGGACAAAGAAATATTTGGTTAACACATTTGACTCTCTCGAGTGAATGGTAATATAGTACGTAATTCGAAATTTTAATCGTTCGAAATGATTTTCAATAGGACAAAAAAAAAAAATGTTCAATTATAATGTAAATAGAACGGTTGCGTTTGTCTGCAAGGAAAATTGACTCCAACGGGCCTTGAACATTTGAGACTTCGTACGCCCTTGGATTGTCTTCTACACGATATGATAATTGACAATCCGGTTTCTTCTTCCGCTAACATCTCATAATCCATTCTCGTATACACTCGCTGTATCATTTATACATTACGGTTTCAAACGTGCCACACGGAATTCATACTTAAAAAGGATAAAAGGATATTGTGATCAACATTGCCATAAATGTCGATCTGTTCAAAATGTTCGTCTGTCGGTGATTAAAAACAGGTGATTTTAAACTAAACTTACGTGATTTTAAATGATATACTTTATCACGAAACTAAGATAATGCATCTTTCCTGAAATAAAATAAGAGACAAAGTTTACACCGCGGTCTTGAAACAAATTCGTAACTTTCTTACTCGGTCTTCCCGTTTATCCCGATTCTCGATTACTTTCCTCCTTTATCGAAATCCTGTTTCCTTCGCGGAGTTTTGCATAAAGTTATATCTGCCTAGACACACACAAGACTCAGCTTTTTCCCCATTTTATTCACCTTCCGTTCCTTTCAGTACGAAAACCTCGCTCCCGCACCAGCAAAAAGATACTTTACACGACGAAATATATTGTGAATGTAAAAAGTGGATTTCGTTTCTGTTAAATGTTATGCCTAACTGGTGATATCAACGGCTATTTGTTCGGCATTTAATCCGTTTAATTTTAGCGGTTCAACGAGTTTGACAACTTTCAACAGTGACGCAATAACGTACCCGCAAATGTATCGTATCCTCGTTGCATAATGTACGGTATGCAAGCTTAGAATACACTTGCACCAGAAATTTAGCGTCGTAACAACGATTCCTTCGAAGTCGAGTAACGTTAGAAAGAGGAGAACAGAAATAAGCGCGGACAATCAAGATAAAAAGATTATTGTGCGTTGTGAAATTGTTGAAATTTTGTATGCGAACGGAAAGTATTGTAGATTTAGGTATTGTACGTAATTTGAAGTATTGTAGACAGAAAATATAACGAGCGAAAAAAGATCCGCAACCTTCTTAGAAGCAAGCAATTGGCAAGGTAAATTCTCGTCCGGAGGACAACGACACGTGTAAAATTAGGTCAACAGACTTGATACCCGGTCAACAGGTCGCTTTTCTTTTCCCTTAATCGTTACTTTACACGTTGCTCTTGCATGACTGTAATTATACTGAATTTATATTGTTCTGCATATTCTACATATAAAATTACAATGTATTATCTAATATTATTTGTGCAGTAGTGGTAGTAATATTTATCATGCCTTTCCGCTTT